GTAAAATATGTGTATTTCAAGTATAAGAAGGTATTCATTTGTTATGAAGAAATTGTTTTATCAATTGTTGGGGTAATAAACTTATTAAATTGAAATGAAAGGAGGAGAAAGAAAAAGAAATGAGTAATATAGATTTGGTGTGTTACCGCTTTGCAGCCAGGACCTGCGCTACCACCAGCTAAATATCTGCGTTCATACCATAAAAGCCTACGACGATGGTCACCCCCACCCCCACCACCACCTGCTTCTTCGTCAGGGTCTCTGTACGGGCAAGGCAACATTGTGTCTGCAGCCTCTATGGGAATACACACTTGAGATATATACTTTTGCCCAAATGTCAATAACAGAGATATAAATCCCAAAACCATAAGCTCTGCTTGATGAAAATAGAGGACAAATCAGAAACAAAATGAACGAAATTAGATTACTGATTATTTCATTCAGGACTTAATTACAAACACATATATATATACATAATAGGTGAAATGAAAGCATAAGATGTTTATATTGTCAGAATGGCAAGAAATTAAACATTATCAAATATACGTATTACATACCCCCTTTCACTTTCTCAAGAGCTTCAAGCAAACCCACCTTCTTTTTATGATGAAAAAACTGCAATTGAAAGACGGGATAAGTACATGCATGAAACCCTTAAAACGTTTGAATAAGAAATTAAATTGAAATATAAAATCAACCGCGCTGTTTGAACCTCGATCGAGTCCTTGCGTTAATACAAAGTTGGAATTAAGAAGATGAAGATATTTTAAACTGAAATGATTAAATTAAATGACAATTTAATAATTGCATATATGTATGTATATATATATGGATGCATGCATGCATGCATGGTACGTACCTCTCCAACCATGTGAAGAACCTTTTCCAAAACAATAGAAATAATAATGATAATGAAGCAGACGGCGGCCAGAGCCCATGTTGGCGTCTGATCGAGCTCTCTGCCGGCATTACCCCCTCCTCCACCCGCCATTTCAAACTCAACCCTACGCCGCGGTACCTAGCTTGCCTTGAATTGTGACCTTAATTATTTAATCTCTTGTTAATTCAAACAACAACCAAACCCGGAGGATTTGTTAATATAACTACTGTTATATTATCAAAAATTATGAACAAAGGATCGGAAAATCAAAACTGGCTCTCTCTTTATCTCCATATACATATATAATACAAAATTAATTCAGGTCACGAATTAAAACGCCTATATATAAAGCTAAGAATATGACCTGGGAAGGAAGGAATTAGGAAAAGAAGAAGAAGAAAGATTATGTAATATGGTCGTCACCATCAGCAGAGGTACAAGACAGGCTTCTAACGGTCTTGAACCGGGGAGGAAATGTACGGAAGGCTGGCCTTTACTCAACTGGCGCAACGCATGACGGTGTGGCGCGTAAATTGGGATTCTTTGCCTTAAAATCTTTTGAGGCCGAGACCCTGCCACGAGAACCACAAGTCAATGGTCGGTAATCAAACAACAAAAAACCAGTGGCAATGCTGACTTATGCCATCCTCCTATAAAATCATTTAAACAATAGGATCGTTACACTATATTTAGGGTTGGGGATAATACACGTAATTCATCTAAATTATTACGAGTAGGGAGATTTTAATTTGAAAGCAGATGATAGAGAACACTACTCTAGCCAACTTGGTTAAATTCATGTCTATGCTAACTTCATAGATGACGTGAGCCTGAAAACCGATTTCAATCTATTATCCATGTCATTACTTAACGCTCATGACCTAATTGAAATCGAATTTTCAAACCATTAGATTGTTATTTGAAGTATTTAAAAGATTGATATCAATTTGGAATAACGCTAAAGAGTGGGTTGTTATCTGTAAACTCTTTAAAATACCTCGCTAATTTTAACAGTAATTTAAGGTCGCGAGAAATGGCATTGGATAGTTATATGATCTCTATATATAGTTCAATAAATTTCAGTTTAGAGTGTACACGACCACTGAATTAGGGATGCTCCTAACCTCATATAAGGTATAAACGTCCGCTAAACGAATGTGTCGCGGAATCAATTCGTCTTAATTTGTCCCAACAATTGAATCGATGGAAGAAACAAAAGATAAAGAAAGCTCGCAACTAAGGTCAACAACATTTAAGAGTGGAAAGGGTGTTTATAGTTGTTTGCATGACTATTTCTTATTGAAAGAGAATTTTGTGTTGCTATTTTTGTGTGAAGATTGAAGAGGTGCCCACATTTCTTCTTGCTTAGGTCATGTATGTGTTATTTTTTAATAATTCTCGATGATTTTGTCTTGATATTTTTTATTTCTTCGACCTCGAAATTTGGATTTGATCCATTGTCGCTAAATAGATAAATAACAAAAAAAAAAGTAAAAGAAAAGCATTGTATTTATTTAAAAACTTTCTTCCTTTTTCTTTTGTTGAACGATAAATTTTTGTTACATTAGGTGTTAAATTAGCCACCAATGAAGTTGAACTCACGATGTCATGTAAGAGTTTAACACATTTCTACTACTGTAATAAATGGTTACTTGTTTTTTATTTAAAAACTTTCAACTAACTAGTAAAGCAACAAGGTCGTTGTAGTATACTGGTAAGTAATCCCGCCTGTCACGCAATTGTGATTTCTGCACATATTCTTTGCATCTTTTTGAATAGATGTGTTCATTAACTTAGTACAACATGATGCAAACGATGCACTGTACATGATAGATGATGTGAAACGAAAATCGAAAAACGAAGAAAAATCCTGGGTCCAAACTCTATGCATGAATAAAAAAGGTGTACTCAAAAGTCAAACCAATCTTGAAGAAGCAGAAAACTGGTTTGTTGTGAATCGCTTGGGACAAAGAGAGGAAGCTGGCGACCCCGCTATGCTCTACCCTGCTGATGTGTAGATCCCCTCTCCAGACCAGAAGCCAATGAACTGATATTCCTTGTTCCTCTGCTTGGCTGTTCATTCAGAACAGGCCCCCAAAAATATATGGATTGTCCTGTGTACGTGAGCTCTGCTCCAGAAATCTGAGAAGAGGAACCAGCTGATCTGGAAGATGAGACAAGCTGATCCCAAAAGACTAAGATCTCGCTTTTTTCGCAAGACTCAAGTTCCCCTTTTTCATAGGAAATTGTCCTATGTTTCCATTCCCATTGCTTTGTTTTGCTGACCGCGGAGATTGATCTGTTGATGACTGATAAATGGGATTGAACTGATCTATGTTTGAAGCTTTCTGCTCTAGTGGCGATGTGGTGAGGCTAGAGAATGGTCTGTTTGACTATCTTACAACAGCACAACCGTAAGTTGTTTTCTTGCTGGACTTGATCCTGTGTTGTTTTAGAAGTGACATTCTTAGGAAGACACCAGTGCCTGGGATTGAAAAATGCTACAACATAATCCGATGCGAAGCCCAACGACAAGTCACTATGCTTGGAACCAAAGCTTTGGCAATGGGACATGGTCTCTAAGGCCTTATTTGGCAGCTCTGTACTGACTATTTTTATTAGATAGGATAAATAATCACCGAATAGTACTGATAAAATTAATCGGACGTTTGATGCAGTATCGGATTAATAACCATATTATTTATACTGTGTTTGGTGTGTTTGGTATTATATCGGAGGAATCACACTTAAAATAAAATTAAACTTAAAATAAAAAAATAAAAAACTGAAATCTTGTTCCAGATCTCTCCGCACTCCCCAAACTCCCTCCCTCTCTCTCCCTTCTTCTTCCCCGACCAGAGAAGAATCCCAAATAATTGTTCCCCAGATCTCTTCGCCACACCCCCAAACTCCCTCCCTCCCTCTCTCTCTCTTCTTCTTCTTCTTCCCCGACTGCAGAAGAATCCCAAATAAATTCAAACAGAAAATTGACATCATCTCTCCGCCGCAGAAAACGACAGCAAAAAACCCAACTGTAGAAAACCCAGTTGCAGGGGAGGACGGCGAGTAGGTGATGAGGAAGGCAACGAGGACTAGGAGAGCAAAGATGGCAAGAGAAAGCAACGGTGAGATAAGGCAACAGTGAGGACGACGATGGCGAGAGAAGGTGATGGGGAGGACGACGACGCCAAGAGAAGGCAAGAGAGAGGGGGTCGAGTTCGGGAGCAGAGAGTGAGAGCAAGGCCGACTAAATTATACCGTGAATTTGGACAGTATAAGCAAGCAGGTAAACACCGGATAAAAAAGGTAGGCCCGGACTATTTAATCCAGTACCTATTTAATTCAAACAGCCATCAATCATCGTACACCGTATTATTAGGACTATCTGGTGCCTTATACGATGTGCCAAACGGGTCCTAAGACACCGTCCGCTACAGCTTCTTGTTATTCCCTCATTGAAAAGGCATACAGAAGAAACATGCTTCAAACTCCCTGGTTTCCCGGAGTGGGTTCTTGTACAATTGTACTACGTGGATGATTTGGCATCAGGGCGTGTCAATCGGCTTCGTAGTGGTGACAGGAACAAGATCAAGAGTCAAGACAATTGGGATATGGCATCATCGATTGAGACATGCATCTTCTGGTTATTTAAGGAAGTTACTTTCGTCATTATTTAGTGATGTTTCAGACTATACACTTAAATGTAGTGATTGTATTTTAACTAAGAGCCATCGTGCTTCGTACTAGTTAAGTTTCAATAAAATAACACAACCATTTGAGTTAATACATTCCGATGTGAGTCCCCCCACTGTTGCTACACAACACAGAATACGTTGGTTTGTTATATTTACGGGGCCTCTACTATCGGTCGTTTCGGGAAAATTATAAGGCACCCTATACCCTCTTCCAATTTGTAAACAGGTGCGACCTCGTCTTCGTAAAAGTAGTCGCATCGATCAAACCTCCAGCACAACTCCACAGCTCTTCGACTCGAATCATGGTATCGGGGCAATAATCCAAATTTGTTCAAATAAGATTTTTCGTATTCCACAATTTCCAGATCCAAACCCAATAAATTAATCAAAGCTTGAATTAAACACGAATTGGATGAAACCCAGAAGATGAAACGAGGGTGACGTATTGGAACAGCATGATAAAATAACACAAATAAAGGGAAGAATAGTAAAACCATCATCGGCCAGCTTTGCCAACAACAATAAAAGCTTATGGTACAGCAAACTTACCAACACCAGCAGAATTACATTTACAACCAAATGAATGGGAAGAATAACAACTCCGTAAAGCACAAGGTTCCGCTGCATTCTGATAGACGGGGTTGGTTCAAAGAGACTTGGTTTCCTTCCAATCATTTTGCTACAAGGTTTTAAACTTGTACCTTTATTCACCAGTGGTGCTAGATTGAACTCTCTCAAACAAGCGATATATCATAGTAGATCTCGACATCTGAGGTTCTCTCTCTAGGACAGCAATCACATCCTTAACAGATATACTACGAGCCACCTTCGTTTGAGGCACATTAACTTGGTTCTTTCCACATTTTCTAATAGTCCCGGCTACGGAAAATAATTTAAATAAATTAATATATAGCTCACACATGCCTAATGAGAATAATTGTCCAAAATATAAAAAGAAGAAAGAATAGAAAGAACATATAATTAGCAAAGAGAATGCAGAAGGTCTCAAGTTAGAAGAGAAACACCGCCAGCCTCAAGCTTCCGTGATATCCTGTCCACAGCCTCCGCAGTGTTCGAAATTTAATGGGCATATAGCACTTTATATGATTTTGTATTTTGATTATTTCAAACCTAGGGATATGCTTGTAAATGCAACTCAGGATATGCTAACTAAGGCACTTACATACAATGACTATTTAAATTATGTTACTTGTGCAGAACCAAGGTGACGCAGGGCAAAAGCGTTAAGCTAATGGCCATCTGTTGTAGTGGTGTCAAATCACAGAGGAAAAATTCAGGCAATAAATAGAAAAATAGAGATAGAAGGCAAAACTGAAGTTGGAATGAAGATACTTGAGTTCTAGGGCAAACGGGACCGAAAAGATCTTTTTAATATGATTTTCTGGAATAAACTTATAAAAACTGCATGTACAAAGTGTCTTAATAGATTAGTTATACTAGGGCAATAACCAAAACACCTAATAAATCCTACCCCTCCAAAGTATTTAAAATGTCACATGACCCATGAGAAAGATAAGGGATATAACTTAGGGTATGTTTTAACGAAGGAATGGGTATGAGAACGAATGGCATGGGATGAAGAAACCCCCCTTGGTTATTGCATACCTTCATTTTTCAGATATTGTCATACCCAAAATAAATGGGACCCACCTACTTTTTTCATTCCGGTGGTTGTTAATAAACACACGAACAAGAATGGTACCCATTCCTTATCATCTACCAAAACACAAGAGGCTAAGAAGTGAAAAAGAGAATAAAATAACTAAAATCCCAAACTAATTAGAACCCTAGCCTAGTTGGCTAGCTGGCCCTATTAGCAGTCTTGTAAAGCCTTTTAGACGCTCCTGCATCACAAGGTGTTGGCATTCTCTACTAGCATCAATCTCATGACCTTTGCCAATATAACTCGTATTAGCACTGACACAGTAGTACAGTACCAACTATGGTGGCATACTCTATAGTACTTTGAATCTTGTTTGATGCAGCAGTATCCCAGGTAATGACTATGGATGCTACAAACTATAAAATCAAGATCAGACATATGTTCAAGCTTAATGAAACTTACCAGCTGAAGCAACAGGAGTTCCACCGCTCCTTTTCTCTGCTTCTTGATTGTCCTTCATAGTTCTTCCTGCTGATAATGTAGGCTTGCGGTTTACATCTTTACCTGGCTGGGACCCAGATGCTACATCAATCCCACCTTCACGTTTTTGCCGGGCTTGCTCAGCCATAAGTTGCCATTTTGACAACATGTCATCTCCTCCAACAGCAGCTCGGGCAGCAACATTTGCTGCTGTTGTCCTCATTTTGTCATCTTCCTCTTTGTTTGGCTATCAAATAGAAAGTTACAGAAGATTAATCTCTCTTTAATCTCTCTATTTATTGTAGAGGTAAACATATAAATGCTGCGCAGGATTTTAATACCTTAAATGATTTCGAACGACCTTCATCTTTGTCCTTATCACCATCAACTCCATTGCTAACCTCAGGCTGTATGTAGTCATATTAAATACTTAAGAAAAATAAAACACACCTACACTCATAAAAAAATATTTTGTGTGTGTGTTTAGCACACTAGCAGTTTACACCATGGTTGCCTAGTTAGAATAGCAATGTAGGATGCATACAAGATACTCACTTCATTAAGCTTTCGAAGTTTTTCTGCCTCGGCCTGCTTTTTTTCAAATTCTTCCCTGGCATTCTGGTTGAGATTCATAACTTGCTGCCGAACATCAGAGGTAATAATAGTGCGGTGTCTTGGCTTCTCAGCATCAACTCTCTAGTGGAAGGAGATTCACTCAAAGTCAGGAATTATTATGATGCAAGAGAATTCGTGTTCAGCAGAAGGAAAAAATAAAAAAACAAACCTGCTTTGACAGTCTGATCAGATTATTTATTAGTCCCCTCATTCTTTCCTCCACACACTGAAGATTCATTTGTCTTAGAATTAGATAACATGGAAGTTTATCACAATAGAAAAGAATATAGCTGCTAGCACCTCACCAGTGACAAGCACCGCTCCACATCATAGCTTACACTTTTCAATCCACATTTGATCACTGCAAGACCCACCAGCATAAATTCCAGATCAATTTCCTTCGTTATAGGAACAAATATGGAATTTTAACATGGGAACTGTTATTGGCACTCCAAAAAGGTAAAATATGCCTTATACAAATATAAAAAGTGCATAATGACTTTTTGGTGTGCCAAGCGCCCTTTCAACGTCTCAATGATAAAAAGATAGATAGTGTATTAACTAATTTCTGCCAACTTTTTCTGCAAGGGATCCTTCTGCAAAATCAGCCTCTCTTCTTCTTCTTGCACAAACTTTCGAGATGCTTCTGAAGCTCGACTATCCTCCTTGGGCCCAGAAAACAGCTGCTCTTCCTCTTCCTGTTTAAATCAAGAATTCAAAAGGTTCTGAGCATGTAACTTAAAGATGGAAACTGTTCATTTAATTAGCTTATCCTCCATAGTAAGATGATTTGAAAGGACACAATACTGTACCCTAAGATTAACTCCACTAACAGCAGTCACATCATTCAGTTGTTCAATGCTTTGATCCAAAAAGTTCCCGGATACCTTTTGCTTCTTACTGAAAGAGATCCAAATGTGAAAGGGTTTAACAGAAAGTTATGTTGAAGAAGCAATGAAATCAATCATCCACAAGATACGACACAACAATATGGATTTATTTTACCTAGACGGAGGTGGTGAAGAACCAAGTGCTTCAAGAGGCTTCTTTTGGCCAACAGAAGGCTTTTTTGGAGGTGCTCTATTACTAATCCCAGCAGGAGAAGTTCCAGAGGGTATTCGATGGCCTAACTGGCATAAATAGATAAGTACAAAAATGAAAAGCCAATCAACATATCAAGTAACACATGATTTTAAAAAATACATACATTTCAGCACAAAGCAAATGAGGCAAAAATGGATTCAACATGAAATTAGTCCATCCAACCATTTTTTCATGTTACATTTAAGGCTGGGACTGATTGTGATGTAGAAGTAGAACAAGTAACCAGAATTTAGAATATAGACAGGGATTCCAGAACAGAACTAGAACTATGATTCAAGATACGATCATATGAGAAACACAGGAACTTTAAGACTAGAAGACAGAAAGAAATAGATAGGCCGACAAGAATCCAGAAAAAAGATACAGGATTAGAAACAGAACTGTTGAGAAGAAGATCAAGATGGAAAAGACTCAGAGATCAAGATACTTGGGGAGAAAATTTGTTTAATCAATCATTCAAGTCTGTCTATAGAACTACAAAGCACATTAATAACGTAATCCTAAATCTACTAGGAACAGGAAAGTAATCTTAATGCTATTACAAACTGGAAACTAAATAATATAGAAAATGAAGTTTAAACAATCCCATTTCAATTCCCTAACTCGTCCAGCATCAGAGAGGCACAATAAAACAAAATAATGTGGCCACAAAGCATATTGTTATGGATTAACATATAACAAAGCCTGCACAAGTGGATAAATTACAAGACACGGTAACAAAATAGATTAACTCTTGTTTTTCCACAATTAGTTTTAAATAGAGTACTACTTTACAGAAAACACATCATTAAAAACATAATAAGTCGGCAACACACCATAACAATGCATATTTAGCAGAGAACCATAGATGAGAAGAATGAAAGTACCAAGACGTTGGGATCAGCTTGCGTTGTCATGGAAGAAGAAACAGAATTCGGGGGCACTGTGCTTGTAGAAGATGAAGCCCCAATGCTTACAGATGCTGGAAACCCCATTCTTGAAGATTGCTTATCTAACGGCTCGTCCATTGAAATTCCAGGTGACCCATTCCCCTGCTCAAGTTTCGCAGCAGAAGTCAATTCCTGTGAATTAGACAATGGGGGTTTGTGCTGCTGCTCAGCAGTCTGATCAGTCAGTTCCTGTTTTACAAAAGGCATTGATGACAAAGGACCAGAATGTGGCTCTTTATTTGAGGATTGCCAAGGAGCTATATTCTGTTGTAAATTTGAATTATTTGTAAAGTGCGAAAGAGATCCACCCTGCAGTCTACTAGGGTCCTTCATCAAATTTTGCCTCTCCAAATTGGACACACCCATGACGTTCCCTCCCTTTGCTTCCCCACCTGACTGAGCTGAACCCATGCTTTGATGTTGTGGTATTTGCCTAAGTTGTGAATCATGAGGTTGCTGTTTGAGAGGCAATGTATTGATACTTGTCCCCGTATATGGGTGATAATTACCACCAGTACTTCCATACATGGAATAGGATGATTGTGGATACTGCAACGGTTGTTGCTGCTTATTAAGTATTTGCATAGGACCAGATGAGCGCTCCCTTTCTTGATTCCCAGCTACCACACTAGAAGAAGACATTTGGCTGACTTGCATTCCATGAGAGTCTGACTGACGTTCTGCCTCCCGCAGTTTTTTAGCACTGTTTTCAATGACTGAATGGCTTGAATCAGACTGCAGTTGAACTGTTGAAGATGGAATGTGTGATGGGTCTGTCGGAGAGTTGGTGCCTCTCTGATTAAGTGCAAATGAACGGGGATCAGGGAACTGTGTGGAACCTGCAATTGCGGATGGCATCTTAGGAGACTGTTGCTGCACTGAAGCCTGAGGCAGTAACTGGTGTTTAGGACCTGGCTGCAAAGTTTTTGTATGCTGGTTTTCAGTTTATCAAAAAAGGATACATTATAACTTAATTCAAATTATATTAATTAAACCCATTATACACTTACCTGCGATTGTACTTTCATTACTGCCAATTTGAGCATCTGGTCCCCAACAACACTTCGAATGTGCCGAACAAAAGCGTCTTTTGAGATTTCATTATTCTAGAATAGAGACACAGTCAGAAACCAGAAGGTTTAATAAAACACCCAACACCTTGATATAGAAGTGTAGGACCAACCTTGAGTTTGCCAAATAGAGTATTAAGTTGCATGGCCCTGTCTTTATCAAGCTGGGGCAATAGGACAGGTAGTAACAGGCCAAACGGTACTTGTTTACTACGATTCATTGGGTTGCTTGGCTGCTCAGTGATCATTGCCTGTTGACTGCTCATCCTCTGAAGCTTTAAGTACTGAGATTCGCTTTGCGGAGTAGGTGTAATGTCCTGCTCCTGATTGGAGACGGGAATTTTTCCAGAAATCGGCGTGCCAGTTGTTTCAGGTACCTGGAGGGATTTTTGTTCTGCTTGCCCTTGTTGAAGATCACCTTGGGGTTGCTTCTGGGACAAAGAAAAGTGACTAAGTTCCTGTGAGGCATCACTTTTTAGCTGCATATTTTCAGCAACAGATCCTTGTTGCTTTAGCTCCATTTCATATGAATGGAGTTCTCGCGGTTGTGCAATTTTTTGGTCATGTTGCATTTCGCATGCTGTACTTTCATCCTGACCAGTTGTTTGGAACTGTGGTAATGGCTGACTAGAAGTATTATTGCTTCCTTGAGACAAAATCGCTGCATTATTCAGTTGCACACATTATTCTGGGTATGAACATATGCAAACTCCATGACAATTAACTAGAGATTACAGGCGCAACAGTTGAACAAACTTTTCAAATCACTTCTGATATTTTAGGGTCAGAAAATGCCCAAAATAAATTGCTAATGATGTAATAAGTAGAAGTTGAATAGATTGACAAAATAGAACTAATGGTCAAGGTACATTAATATCAGTGTCAATGGAAATATTGAAGGTTCTACACTGAAATATTGACATCATGAATCATCAAGAGAGAACTAACAGATATTATTAAAAACCTGTGGACATTTAAAATAAAGAATCAAATGATGCTTACCTAATTAGTTATCTATAATTTTTACCCAAACATTTAGATGCATATATATGAACTTTACATGATTTAAGACAAATACAACGAACAATGGTAATCCTTGTTATTCAGAAAATGTTTCTTTAGGTCTATAAAAAAGTAATAGAAGTCAACATTTTACCTTGCATGGTGTTATCTTAAGACATCCCCAATTTTTTCATGTAATTTTTTTCATCACCATCTTTTTTAAAAGAACATTAACTTTTTTCTAAGTGAAAAACAACACATTAATACTACAGAAACTACTGGAATCCCTAAGAACGTTGTTCCATCATCGTTTTTGAACTATCTGTTCAAAATTTGAAACATGACGAATGAACTTCTAAAAGCTATGATCTCATAATCTTTGGGCCAATCAATGTAAATAAAACATTTGGTATGGCCATTGTAGAGGCAAAGTTCAAACTATAGCAACTTACTTTATTTTAGGGAAATAAATTTAACACACCCTTTTTCTCCCCATGAACACCCTGCTTATTTGTGGCGTTTGGACCCAATAAAACAAAGGTGAATCAAGGGGCAAATATAACCAAGTGTGTGCAGAAGGAGAAAAGGGGAGTGCAGAAATCATTTCCCTTATTTTATTGCTGGATAATACTCTCTCCCATGAAAAAAGTCTCTCTGTCCAAGCTCATTTATGACTCCTAAGCTTTGCCCTGATACCACTTTGGATTATAGTGCTTTAACTTGTCCAAGCTCATTTATGTTTGCTGATTACTAGTATTCTTTCAAGTAGTGTGTTGGGTAATGCAGATTTGTTCTGTTCTTTTCTTTATGTTATATAGTGCATTCATGTTATTATGAGTAAAAATTTCCGGTGTTTTTCCAAGAATGTTGATTGGCTTAAAGAAAAAGAACCTTGTTCTGGATTTTTCATTTGATGATTATAAAACAAGGGTGTTGTTATTGGCACTCCAAAAATCTCACAGTGCACACCAAACTTTCTATATCTAGGAAGAAAAAGTACACTTATGAGGAGTGCATGAGTTTTTGGAATGCCAATAACATCACCCTAAAACAAAAGTGAAAAAGAATCATACTTTCACTCAAAGCGGCTTAACTTCAAGGTCTTTTGGATCTTTGGAAGTAACTAAAGAATGAATTACTTTAGCTGATTACTTTTATATTCTTAAGACAACTTCATTAAAAGTTTGTCTTTTTTTCATTTCATCTTTTAGAAAAGAAAAACAAAACTTATTTTTATATTTGAAGTTAGGTTAAAGAACTATCTTGACCAATCCAGAGAAAATCTGCATCATTTATTCAAAATATGATTCGATCCTTCCATGCAAGTGCAACCCATAAGAAAAGTCATAATTCCAACATGGATATGGTGTTTCGGAAAAATAAATAAATAAATAAATAGATAAAAGGTGGAAGCTCTAAAAAACGAAAGTGTTTTAATCAACAACTGGGTATGAAATCTATAAAATATGCACCTTAATGTCTGGCCAATTACATAGGGCCCTAGATAATCCAAAACATACTAATTCAAAATAAGTTGTCATAAGTTTAAGTTCCAGGAGTAAAAGTGAGATATAGAAGAAAATTTGAGAGGCATTGCTGAGAGGAGTACAAGATGAGAATTCCAAGGTATTGACCTTATTGGACACTGACAGAAAGATGAAGATGTTTGGTTTCAATTTTCAATTGATAACCACTTACTGTAGAAGAACCAAGGATCCAAGTAGAAGTAAAGATGGCAAGTTACGCCAAATAGCAAAGGTAGAATGAGGGAGAAGAGTAACTTTAACTCAACTCTGTTGTAAAAAAATGCTTTCTCCAGGACCTTGTTTTCGATAGACTATCATGACTCACAATTAACCAAGCACAAAGAATAAACAAACAACCAAAACACCACACACAAAAGAAAAGGCACACACCATGAACACAGAATTATAGTGGTTCGGCCAAAACTTGCCTATGTCCACTCCGGTGATTACTGAGATACTCCACTAGTATGAAAGCCCCTTTGGTTTACAAGAAAAAACCCCATTTGCTGTCACAAATCCAGGTCTTAAAATATCTCACCCCTCACACTCTCTCAAAGTGTTTCACTCTACTGTCATCCAAATTCCTAATCTATATTGTACAAGGAAACTTAATCTTTCCTAAATCTTTTAGGACAAGAATCTCTGCACCTAGCTTCCCTAATACAATCCTAAACAAATTAGGACACTAACATTCACAAAACAAATTCCTAACAAATACAGACCCAAGTTTCGGTCTACAATTTATGGGGTCTGCACAAAATAAAAAATGGAAATGAATACTATCCTTCCTAAGATCATATTTGAATAACTCGTGCCGAACACTATTACCATAAAAAGAACCATGCAAGCAGGATCAATTAGAGCGGAAAATCTGACCTAAATTTTGTTCCAAGAGATATAAGAATCAAAACAAAAATCAAGCGGAAAATTGAAGCTTTTCTATCCAATCCAACATACTCGTGCTTTCCAAAAGACGAACACCAAAGCTAACAAATTATGAAAAGCAATAAAATTGTAACAAAGTGTTGAGAGTAATCAGCAAAAGGTGTATGATTAAGGTGTTTGAGTGAGAAATAAGGTTAAGGAGGAAACCGGAGTCGGAATCAGATGGCTGGGAAGCAGATGCATCTCCTTCAATGTCCCTATTGAGGGCAGCCTGGAAGGCCTCCACATCCGCCCCCGAATGCATGGTTTCGTCCTTCGCACAATTCAAACCAGAAAAAGAAAAAAAAATAAAAAGCTTCAGAATTTAACATATGTAGAGACTTAAATTAAGAGCTACAGATGTGACAGAGACAGAGAGAGAGAAGAGAACCTCATCGTCTTCGAGCAGCTTCTTCATAATGGAGGGGTCCATGATGCGATTAGGATATATGCTGCGGGTTCCCCACTAGTCAAAGAATCAAAACCTCTCTCTCTCTCTCTCTCTCTCTCTCTCTCTCTCTCTCTCTCTCTCTCTCTCTATATATATATATATATATATATATATGCTGTTAGCACTGTGAAGGCAATCGAGCACGGCCACAAAGGCAACCTGTAGATTTAGAAGAAGAAAAAGCAAAGGCGTTATCGAGAATAAGATGGTCATAAAAAGACAAGCAACGAAGCAATTGAATTGGACCTACAACGGATTTACCTCTTCAATTCAGCAAATGTTGATATTTACAGCCACATCAATCAAGCATCGACTATCGAAGAAGAAGAAGAGAAGGAGGGAGGGCGGCCGGCCGGCTGCGTAACTGGGTCCCACAGCTCGCTGGTGAAGAACTGAACAGAAGAAATCAAAAGCAAGGAAGAAGAAGAAGTGAAAGACAAGAATTCAAAACACTGATTCTATTGAATTGAAGGGGGAGGAGAAGAAGAGCAAATCAAAAGGAGGAATGGAGGAGTAGGACGAGGAGGAGAGGAGAGGGCTGTTAAAGAGTTTACACGCGGTTGGGCTCTGGGTCTCACTGATGGGCCGGGGGTTGGCTTTGAAGGTGGGCTATGGGCTGTTGCATTGAATTTTATTTTATGGGCTGGGTTTGGTTTTTTTTGTTATGACCTATACTGTTATGACCGGGTAAAAACACCGGTGAAGTTGAAATTCGTCGCGGTGACTTTTGGACGGATCGGATAGGAAACAAAGTTTTTTAGTAGAGTTCATTGATGCAATGTCAATACTGCTCTTTTATTTGTTTCGTGGAAGTGCTTCAGAGTCTATTGTGAATTTGTTTCGTCATTGTGCCCATGTGATTTACTTTCGGCCTGCTAGTCTCTTGGACCTACGATCGAGTGGATATGACAAAAATTTCTTACAAAAAATTAAATGGAACTTTAACGAAAATTTACCGGTACTGTTCATTTTAACGAAAAACCACATTTTTATACTAAAAAGTCAATCCTGGTAATATTCACTTTACCTTTTATTTTGTCCTTATCGTTAAAACTCAAAGTTTTCAAACTCTTTTCATTAGTTTTCCTAAAATTAGGAACTTGATGTCGAGCGAAAAACGCAAGATAGGGTAATGTTATACTTACAATCTATTTGTACCATAGTTTTATAATCTTAGATGGCATCCAATGTGGAACTTTAGATGGATAGCCACATTATTTAAAACAATTGATTTTTCAATTTAATTAGAAATTAAGAACCCAAAAAAATAAAAAAAAATAAAAAGAAACCCTAAAACCTAGCAATGTGAAGCCCGTTTGCTTCTGTCATCCTCCTCATCCCTTCCCCTCCTTCCTTCGCATACCCTTTCATAGTAACCATTTTCATAGTCAATATCACTACCTTATTATTCTATGGAACATCGATCGATATGTAAATACGTCAAGAATAAATATAAAAAGCTAACTATCCATTAGGATATTAAACTACATGCAAAGTCTAATATATATAGTTATACAAACAAGTTCTTTTGAACATCATCTAATTAAGGGTTGATCAACAAGTATATTGTCGATCAAAATGACTTGGAGTATTTACTCATAAACTCAAAGTTAAAGTTCGAATGTTCACATCCGCTCTATCCTCTTTTGTATAAAATTTGAAGAGTACTTAATTATTCATAGTTTTAAGGACAAAAATATCAAGGTCGACTAGCAAATGTAAAATCAACAGTATGTGATCCTTCTTTCATTTCTATTGCTGTTGCAGGTTGGTCTCCTAGTCTTCTAAAACCATTCCCGTCATGTGCGGAGCCTTCCATCTCCGAGAGCTCGGCGTCAGATTGGTAAGATCTTGGGGAATTGAGGACGCTTTCAAGGTCGGATTGATTGGACCTGAGCTTTTGGTTGTGAAGCAGATGCAAGGGTGATGTACCCCGACTTGGCGTATTTTCCCCGCTTACAAATCCTGAGGAAGAAGCATCTCCTTTAGTATTCCTCAACTTCTTTCTTTGCTTTGCAGCCTTTTGCCAGTTCTTAAGAGCCTTTGCCGTTTGCTCCTCAAAAATTGCTTTCTTCATATGAGATCCCATCTGCAATTTAACATATGCATGCATGCATAAACATAGGTTACTAGATATTATATAGTAAATTTCTCAAATAAAATTCTTAATTTTGAACAATAAAGGGCAAAAAGAAACGTCTTTTGTTTTTTTTTTTTCCTTTTGAAATTAAAGTTGAAACTTTTAATCAAATTCCTCAAATTTAGAGGGTAATATATGGTCGAATCAAAGCATGAAGAAATGTTACAAAAGGGCAGTTAACTCACTTGTGTAATCAAACAATAAAGAGGGAAGGTAATGTAACTGCATAGGATCTGTAGGGCTACTCCAAGGAAAACCCTTGTCAATATCAGAGGCAAGTTGTCGTGGAAGCATGATGTGAACCCAAATTCAGACTGCATCCATACATATATAAATATTAGTTATAGTATACGTAGTTGGGAGGTGCAATAAGATATAAACATAATTTTATATGGGATTGTGGTAACTTACAGATATCCAGACGAAGTAAGCCATTTGGAATGCGTTCTGTGCAACAAAAAATGAATTCTTAGAAATCTTATTGGGCGGTAGCTTCTGATACGACTATATACATATGGGGTTAGATTGAAGGACACAAGCTTTTGACACATTTTGACACAAATTTTGTTGCCTCACTTTGTAATGAATTTCAACAATCCGAATTGTCCATATCTTAGTACATATTCATATTCATAGATCATTTTTGCACTTTGTAATATATTTCAACGATCGAATTGTCCATATCATAGTACATATTCATAGCTCATTTTTGCAAAAAAATTAGACACATCCAAAAACTAAACATACAAAAAATCTTGGTTCAGTAAATAAAATTGAATTGAAATGTATGCAATCAAACAACTAAACAATTATTGATTTAATCGCTTTCTGGCATGGATATTTCTTTTAAAACAACAACAACAACAACAACAACAACAAAGCCTTTTCCCACTAAGTGGGGTCGGCTATATGAATCCTAGAACGCCATTGCGCTCGGTTTTGTGTCATGTCCTCCGTTAGATCCAAGTACTCTAAGCCTTTTCTTAGAGTTTCTTCCAAAGTTTTCCTAGGTCTTCCTCTACCCCTTCGGCCCTGAACCTCTGTCCCGTAGTCACATCTTCGAACCGGAGCGTCAGTCGGCCTTCTTTGCACATGTCCAAATCACCGGAACCGATTTCCTCTCATCTTTCCTTCAATTTCGGCTACTCCTACTTTACCTCGGATATCCTCATTCTCAATCTTATCCTTTCTCGTGTGCCCACACATCCCACGAAGCATCCTCATCTCTGCTACACCCATTTTGTGTACGTGTTGATGTTTCACCGCCCAACATTCTGTGCCATACAACATCGCTGACCTTATTGCCGTCTTATAAAATTTTTCCTTGAGCTTCAGTGGCCTACGACGGTCACACAAACATGCTAGATGCACTCTTACACTTCATCCATCCAGCTCGTATTCTATGGTTGAGATCTCCATCTAATTCTCCGTTCTCTTGTAAGATAGATCCTAGGTAGCGAAAACGGTCGCTTTTTGTGATCTTCGCTAAATTGCTCCGGTCATTAGTGTGGATAAGTATATAAATGGATAGAGATAGGAAAAGCAAAACACAAGATGTACGTGGTTCACCCAAATTGGCTACGTCCACGGAATAGAAGAGTTCTCATTAATTGTGAAGGGTTTACACAAGTACATAGGTTCAAGCTCTCCTTTAGTGAGTACAAGTGAATGATTTAGTACAAATGACATTAGAGTACAAATGACATTAGGAAATATTGTGGGAGAATGATCTCGTAATCACGAAACTTCTAAGTATCGGAGTGTGGTATCATCTTGACTTGCCTTATCTGTCTCATAGGTAGATGTGGCAGCTTCTCTGGAAGTACTCTTCCTCCATCCAGGGGTGGTATCTTTAACTGGTGGAGATGCACAAGGTAATGTATCAATTTCACTTGAAGCTTACTTGTAGTTTCAGGCTTGGTCAAGCGCGATACAAACCATGTAGTAGAAGTCCCCCAAGTCGCCGAGCTAGGGGATTTGCTGAAAAAGGTGACAGACAAGGTAAGCAATCAGAGCTCCGGCTGATTGTTCACCTTCTCCCCATCTTGCAGCAGCATGAAGGATAAAGAGAAGAAAAAATGAGAAGAGATGATATGGGATACTTTTGCTTTTGAAGAAGTAACTTTCCCACAGGCTTATTCTTGAACTGAGCTGGAGGGTTTTCTGGTTTCTTCCAGAGTATAAGGCCGACTGAAGAATTTGAGGGTCAAAACAAGTCCATCAAATCTAGAGTACGTTCGACCCTGCTGATATGGGATACTTTTGCTTTTGACAGAGTAATGGATGGATCGGGCACGTGTGCTGTTACGCTTGTCTCCACATGCTTCCTTGTATCCTTCGCACTTGCCCTATTTGTTCCTCAAGCAGATGCGGTATCTTCCCTGGCAACATAAGATGTTGAAGATGAGTACTCGAGAGCAATGCCAGGTAAGTAATCAGGTAAGGGGTTCCAGGCTGTCAGTTCCTGGCTGGGAGCTTGATTTCAAGTGCTGACTGATTGCTCTCTTTCTCCTTGTCTTGCAGGTAAAAACAAGGCCAAAGGAAAAAGACAGGGAAAAAGCATGATATGGGATACTCTTGCTTTTAACCCTGATGATATGAGATATTCTTGCTCTAGTATAGCTTGTTTGCAAAGGTATTATCGGGGGGAAAGAAAACTGAATATTTCGAAAGGCTTCGTTGGGAGTGCCCTCTCAGATATGAGGAAGGGTTGAGCATTTTTGCAGGTCTGCCTGTCCGTTGGGGATGGAGGTCGACATATATAGGAGTCTCCCCTAACAACAAGTAGTAATGCTATTCCTTTACCCTGCTTGGTCATAGCACGGTAGTGGGAGCTGCCAGCTTCACATGTTTTAACTCTGTCAGAGCACTTTGAAAAAGTGGTATGTGGTATCTGGCTCTCGAGATTCGGAGAACGATGCTTCTTTCGATTTTTGAGAAAGCAATCATGGTGGGGCTCTGGCTCTCGAGATTCGGGGAGCAGTGTCTCTTCGATTTTTGAGAGAAAGTAATCATGTTGGAGTCTGGCTCTCGAGATTCGGAAGGCGGTGCCTCTTCGATTTTGGAGTAAGCAATCTTGTTGGGAGTGTTTTCTCGGATGTGAGTAAAGGTTGGGCATGTTTGCTAGTCTACCTTGCCACGAAGCACGGAGGTTGACACACAGGGACTTTCCAATTATCCAGCAGTGGTACTGTTCCTTTACCCTTGTGGGTAATAATATGGTAGCTAGACCTTCAAAATTTATGTGTCTAAACTTTGTTAGTGCTGTTTCTTTGCTATTCTTTTACCTTTCTTGGTCAGAGCGATGTAGTGGGAGCTGCAAGCTTCACGTGCTCAACTTTGGCAGAGACTTTGACAAAGTTATATGTGGTACCCATGAGCTA